ATTTTTATGGGTAGGACCTTTGATAAAAAATAAATATTTTTTGTGACCAGTCTGAGGATTTGGAAGTCATAATATAATCCCTCCAATGGGATACCCTCCAGGGATATTGGAACACAATATTGGTTATACAGTTTGGATTTTACGAGAGTTGTACTCCAATATATCTTTAAGGCCCTTGGTAAATTGGGAAATGACATATTCAAAAAGCAGCAGAAAAAAAAATAATTGCTATCTATTGCAGTTTTCGAACAAACAGGATCCAATCTGGGTCAGTTACTGGGATCAGAGGTTTCATCTTCCGAGCTTTTGGGCTCATGCTGGGTCCCATCCTCAGGGAATTTCTCACAGAGATTGGATCCTGCAACATTATCCTGGGATACATATATTTGCCTTCATTCATAAAATCAAATTCTATTTCTTGGTCTTAATTTGTACACTTTTATTTGACTGAAAAACACATATAACTGATCTGTTAGAGATACGTAACCAGCTGAACATATAGAAAATAAAAAAATGAATGTCTGCTTTAATCCTTGGGACAATGTTTTTCAAGCAGAATGTGTTTGTTGCGGTTGTTTCTAAATAAAAACAGGGACAGTGGAACAAGGCGGTGAAGAATTAGAGCACTTAGCAGAATAAAGCATCTGAAAAGTAGTGCCTTCACAGACAAGTTATTCAACTGAATAGGGGAGGCTGAAAAATGGGAGTTGATGCTCTGTGCTTACTGTGCACTACTGGGCAAGTTGTTTTATTTATCAGCACCCTCTATGAAAAAGGAATAACCTATTTTAATTTTATGCCTATAGATGATTTTCTTAAATTGGACAATACATGAATGAGTAGGGAACTGGCTCTTCCCAACCTGCCTTCCAGATGAGTTGGACTTCTATTTCCATCATCCCCAGCCAGTCTTTTTCACACCAATTTGTTCAGAGTGGTGAAGGAATTCTAACTGGCACGTGCTTTATTAAAGGGAAAGTGGAAAGATGCATATAAATATTTGATAGGAAGAAATTTAAAAGACTGTTCTCCGCAGAAATAGAAAAAGCATGCATTTAAAAGTATATTATTATTAGTAATAATAATAATAATAATAATAATAATAATAATAATAATAATAATATCTCTTAAATTGCTTCACAGGTTTTTTTTTAAAAAATATAATTTATCCTGATTATCATGCCATGCGACAAAAATACTACCAAAATAGTGCCCAGATCAAACAATGTTTTGTGGAAATGGACTTGCAAAAGCATCTATTCCTTTTCCCCACTTAATATCTGCCAAAGATTAACACTTTTTTCAGGTGCATTGGAGACACCCTTGAGCCACTCCTTTCCTTTAGCTAAAAAAAAATGACAAAATTGTTTGATAATGTTATTTTACAAAAGGATATTATAAAGGACATTTAAGCACAGTACACTACTTTGTATGGCATACCTAGTTAGAACTAGCATTATATCTTAGAAATCCATTTCACTTATAGCTCTCCTGTTAAAGTTATCATGTTCTAGCAATCATTCCCATATATATACATAGTGATACTGAAATCTTACTTAACTCAGTTCTTTTGTGAGACAATTTTTAGCTTGAATGAGAAAGGGATGAATAGGTTATGTAGTATCATGGTACACTGTGCTGATTTGATTTCAAAATGGTGCTTCAGAATGTGCAGGGGAAAGATTCAAACAATTGTGAAGTAAAAAACATTGCACAGGCCAATATGAACTATATGAACTATAATCTCAAATAAAAATAAAATTGGATTAGAAATTACAAGGTATTTAGTAATTAATTGAATTTTCCTGTTGGCTTTCAATTACTGAATGAACTAACCTGATTCTGTGAGAACAGAGGTGTGATTACTTCTTTACTCCACATGCATGCAATTATGTGGTTGCAGAAAAAATATTTGAGAGCCTCAAATTAAATTTTAATTCTGCTGACACCAATTCTGTAACTGCTGTATCTCTCAAGTGGCCAAAGCAGTGGAATCACTTTAAACCGTTCTTCCCCTCCTGACAAATAAGATGCCGACAGCCATGCATTAAATGTCTTTGAATCTCAGGCAGATATGTTCCTATAAGCCTCTTTCAGTATTTTTTAGGAGCTCACTGATCATTGCTTATTAGACTCTCAATTATTAAATAATTCTGGACCAAAAGGTTTATATGGATCTTAAGAGATGAAAATGTATATGTAGGAAAACACCTCCTCTCCTCCATTTTTTTTTAGCATTGAGAAAATGTATTTTTTTTAGTCAGTTGGTTATTTTTGTAAAACAAGAACCTCAAGAGTACTCTAATGAGTCTGGTTGAAAAGTCACACTGAAGACGCAGTCCTTTTCCATTGCAGTGCCACCTGCTGGTAGAAAATGAGAAAGACAAGGCAGCCCTACTTTTTTGGGGGGAGTCCGTGAAATCAGAAATGATTTTGTTTATTTTAAATCCAGTGATAATTAATATTATTCAGTTAATACAGTCTAATAAGGACAGAATAGGCATCTCAAATATAGCAACAATGACTTACTCTGGGAATGTGGCTGTCTATTTTGACAACAACACAACCTGCCATGTATTAATAGTGCAATATTAATATCCTGCTCATGCTTGCACAATTAATTCATAGCCTTATTTATCCCACTTTATTTCGAATCACATGCATTTATTTATATGGCAGAATGTGTGTGACCTAAGCAGGTAAAATAGATAACACAGACTACAGTCTTTTTAAAGTACTGCTATGTTTAGTACACCACAACAGCGAAAACCAAGAAATCTGTTAGCAAGGGAAAAGAGAATGGGTCTTGTTTTAGTAGCTGTATTAATGATTCTGTAATATTAGAATTTGCTGGTTGAATATCTTAATCATAATACTGAAGTATAGTCAATTACTCCATGTTTTTTCTGAGAATAGGTTTCTTCAAAGCATTTTAAATTGAGTAGCAATTATGTGCATTTTTTAGGGTAAAAATGTGTGTATATGTATGAGAACTTTTACTTAATAAGTGTTTTCTTTTAAAATCACATACAGGACAATACAAAATGAAAAAAGCAAGATATCCAGGTTCAAGCTAAAAAAGATAATGCCATTTTAGAGTTATTTTATTACAATTTGGTTTTATTAAAAATGTATATCATTACACTAAATACACTAGATGTGCATAGATAAAATTAACAAATTGTCATATTTCATTCTCTCTTCCCAATGTCTAAATGGGTGAGAGGCAGCGGTCATATTCCAATAATCACGGAATACAATAGTTGTAAGATTTTGAATTAAACTTTAGAGTGATTTCAGAGAGTCCTTTAAACCCTTGGAATAAATCACTTAAGGCCAACATCATGATGTGCTCAGTACCAGGAAACTCTTTTGTTCTGGCTGGTCAGTAGTTTCTTACCCAGATTGTTGAACATCCTTAATAGATCACAATCTGATCACAATCAGAAGGACAGTAAGGATGCTAAGCATGTAAACTCTTCTGAATTAAGATCCATTTTTTTTTCCTTCAGAGAATGGTGTCGATCAGTGTTTCTCAACCTTGGCAATTTTAAGGTGTGTGTACTTCAACTCCCAGAATTCCCCAGCCAGCATTCAACTTCTCGGGAGTTGAAATCCACACATCTTAAAGTTGTCAACGTTGAGAAACACTAGTGTAGATGACAGAGTCTAGAAGATCTATATCCCTTTCACCTCTCACAGTTCAAGTCCTACACTGTATATTTAGTGCCATGCACAACTTGGCTCTTTCTTCTAGTATTAATTGTTAACTTTGAAGGATGGGTCCAATATTAAGATAACACCAAAAGAAAAGACATTCGTGAGGCAAACCCTACTCCTTCCAACTTTCCATGTCTACATTACATCTCTTCTTTTCTAGCAATTATGCAAGAGAATAGCTAGGAAGACTTTACAATGTAAAGTGATCTCCCTTTCAATGAAAAATGCAAGTCCCAAATTATCAGTTAAAATGGCATTGCTTGGCATTGCTTGGTTAGTTTACTGTAACTAATTCATTGAATCCTGATATTTCTCCATCTCCAAAGATTTTACCCAAGAGTCCAGTTGTTATGTTGTGGTGGCTGCGGATGGGTTGAGCATCCACCTAAAGTGGATACTCCCTGGTAGAGTCGCTCAAGATTTGAAAGTCACCCAGGCTGCCCAGCTAAAAGTAAGCAGGAAGGTGGGCAGGAAGATGCTAGAGGGATACGATCACTTTAGTGATAACAGCAAAAGCATAATTTCATACTCTATGGGAGAACACAATGCTAAACCACTTCTGCATTTTACTAAGAAAATCACAGGGATAAACAAAATGTATGCTTTTGGCAAAATAGACAGCATACAGCTGGAAAAAATTGGAAGGAAAGAGGAAAAGATGATGTGTGGGAACATGGCGGATGGACTCAATTACAGGAACAATGAGAACACTATTGAGAAACCTAAAATGCTATGTTGAGGACATATCATCCTAGAGAAAGTCCATCCTCTTAATTACTAAGATTCAGCATCAAGCTGATGGGATGGGATGGGGTGGGGTGGAGTAGGATAGGATAGGACAGAATAGAATATTAATCGTGTATTTTCTCCTTAGGTATTAATTAAGCTATGAAAGTACATTATTATACATTGGCTTCAATCTGGGCCAGGAAAAGTCTATCAATGTTTGTCTTTCTTTTGAGTTCTGCCCCTTTGCCACCACTATCTTGTTTCATTTACCATGTGAAGGAAAGGCACCCATCATTCTGTTTGAAGAAGACAGCTGATCTAGAACAGGTTGTGTTCACAATGCCTACAAATCTGTTTTACATATCGTATTCCCACATTTTAAAAAATAACTTCCTCCGTATAGTTGTAGACCTCAAGCTGCCTTATGTCTTCAGTTCTCAGCTCATTCTGGAAAAAGGAGCTTTAATTTTCCCTGGTGCCTCTTCCACCAGAGGGCCACCATGTCTTTTCTTATGTTGAGCAATGCATAAATATCCATCTCAAAACAATACCTTGAGCTCCTTGACTATAAAACAGCCGGTAAGCAGCATCGACATCCAGCAGATAATCCATCTTGAATGGACTATCCATCTTGGAGGATTTTGCAGTCACTTGTTCAGCTACCCAAATTGATATAGCCAGTTTCCTGAAAAAGAAAGAAGTGTCTTTAAATGTAAAATTCATATTCTGTTTATATGCAATATTTAAAGTAACTTACAGCAATGTTTATGTTAACCTAGCATAATACTTGAGGCATTTTGTACCTTTGCTTCCCCAATATTTACTGTTGTAAAACACACACACACACACACACACACACACACACACACACACCTTCATGTATCATGAAGCTTTTTTGTTTTTAGGCATTTAGGCATAGTATATGACAGCACACATCTTTTAAAACACATCTTGCTATCCTCTTAAGAGTATTGATGGTGGTTATATTATGTTAATTGCATTAAAATTCTAAGCAACCCAGATATCTATTAGGAAAGAAATGTTAACAATTATAGATAGGTGAGAAAAACAATATATGGTGGTTTCAAGAGGATTAGATTTTTTTTTTTGCTTGAAATGAGTCAGTCCATTTTAATTTCATGAGGGAGGATTAAAATGACTTCACACTGACAGCTTTTAAAATGCTAGAGACAGTAATTAGCCTTACCACATTGTCAGAGGTCTTTGGTAAAAGTTAGTTCTGAAATGCAATATTTTTCTTCATACACATACATATGTACATACAGCATATTTAAAAACACTAATCCTGCATCTGTCTTACCTGTCACTGGTTTGTAAATTTTCTTCCTCTATAAAATAGTTACGTGTTTAGGTCCAGCATTTACCAAACAATTGTATGTAGATCAAGATTTTACAGAATGCTTTTCTTTTAAAACATAAATCATGCTTGCTTTGAAATGCCCTTTCTTAGCATTTCTAAAGATCTTTCAAAAGTCTATATTTCAAAAGAAAAAAATGGCACTGTTAACCTAATTTACCACAGTAATTTCATTAGTTAGCATTAACTGATTTCAGTATTTACATGCCTATGGAATCAGCCAACTTCTGCATTTCTTCAGTAGCGGTTTCTGCTAATATCTTTAACACACCAAAATATAAGTCCTGCAAAAATGTTTGTGCATGTGTCAGTGTGTGTTGTGTGTGTATACATGCATACAGACATATATGTACACATACCAAAAATTGCCTGCCACTGGCAACAATCCAGTGCTTTCCAGTCAAGATTCTTTTGATCTCGTTAAATATTCCCCAGCGCAAGCAAATAATTTTGATTATTTGATCGGCACTGCAGATGAATAATGTATAACATTGACTGGACTTTTTTTATCTGATAGCAAAACAGCAGGGAATGATGTTACCAGGCAACAGAAGGTGACACTACCCTCAAGATGATCAGACCACCAGCTCCATCTACTAAACAAACTTTCTCAACAACAGCATAAGGGTGTGTGTGTGTGTGTGTGGTATGTGTGAATGTGGGCCTGTGAATGAGAATATTTGTATGAATATGCAAGATTTTGTTCCACTCTCCATTCTTTTTTTTTTTCTGCCTTTGTTTCGCACCAAATTGCTAAAAACACACAAATGCAATTGTTAATTTATATCAATTTTTCCTGCCTGGTGATTTACTTTTATCAGCTTGCCCTTCACCCCTATTTTGATGATTGACCAAAAGAGTAATGAGGCTATAAAGTCACATTATGGTAACAGGCAAGGCAATAAAATGCTTCAGCGACCAGCATCGGCTCTTATCAAGAACTACCATCTGAGCAGTTGAGGCTTGCTTCTCCCTCCTTCAATAATGCCATAAAGTAAAGGTGCATTATAAATGTTTCAGCGATGAAAAGTGAACACAAAGGTTAAGCCCCAGTTTGCCAAAACATTCATTCAGAATGGGGGGGGGAAGGGGCAATGCCATCATAGATTTACAAGAAATCTCTCCAAGAGGGAAAAAAAATACATATCATAAAGTCTCTTCCCCCCCCCCCATCCCCATGCATTCAAAAGATACGGAGCAGGAGCGAACTAAACATATTTTGTTTTAAAGAAAGAGAAACTCTCTTTCTAGGAACAAGGGTACTCACCAATATCACATCCCTTGCTGAATGGTCCTATATACCATCTCGTGAAGCTGAGCAGTTGGTCTGTGTTGGAGGATTCTTTTAAGCCTCTCAGTTCTGGCAAGTTGCTTCTAAACCTGCTGCCTTAGGATGGGGAATTTGGTACTCCTTTGTCCAGAGATAAGAAGAGCCCCCGTTTTCAGGATGTGTTTGTCTGCTAATTAAAGAAAATTAAGGGATGGGGGGAATAGGAGGGGAGATGCTTTATATTACTGGCTCGTCTATTTCTTTCGTGCTATCCTTTCCATTTCATTTGCATTAAAAAAATAAAACCCATCTCCCGTCTGTCTTCTCCACTGCTTTTTGAAAAAGGTATGGAGTAATTTGTTAATCAGGACGAAATATGCTGGGTGATTTAAAGCAACAGCAACTCGTCTTTTGAGCCAAGTAACAGTGTGAGCAATTATAAATGGCATTTTGAAATGCAGAGTCTCTCTCTCTCCCACCCACCCCCCAACCTCTCTCTCTCACGCAGTCCCTGATTTTTCCTCCTCCCTTTGGAAATGCATGGCAACAATTGCTCATGCAAAGCCACAAGTGTATGTCTGTTGTGTGTGTGCATAAAACAATCCTACCCTAGTAGAACTATTCTGGTTATCCCAATTTGCACCAGCAAGAATCCTCAATAAAACGTTTCAGAGATGAGTTTAAATTACTATGTAGAAGTTGGAACTCTTCCCCCCCCCCCCCGTAGCTTCCCTACCTTCCCAGCTAGCAACTCTCAGCACGCCAGTTTGCGTGGCCTTTCCTCTGCCACCAGCGTGTCCGTCTTCCTGTTTTTAGATCTTCTGCAGAATTTTCTTCCCATCCAATTCTTCCTGATAGGAAGTTGACTGGCAGCCCCCTTCCCTCCTTTCTCTTTGTCATACCTCTTCTTCTACCACTACTTTTACATTATATTCCTGCTTCTTGTGGTTACAAGTAGTCCTCAACTTACGGCCACAACTAAGTGCAAAATTTCAGCAAGGGAAGTTGCTAAGTGGGCTTTGCCCTGTTTTGCCACCTTTCTTGTGCGCCGTTGTTCAGCGAATCGCTGCAGTTGTTAAGTTGGTACCAAGGTTGTCGGTCCCCACTGACTTTGTTTGTCAGAAGGTCACAAACGTTGATCACGTGACCCCGGGACACTGCAACCCGTCATAAATATGAGTCAGTTGTCAAGCACCCAAATGTAAATCACGTGATCGTGAGGGTGCTGTGAAGGTCGTATGTGTGAAAAGCAGTCTTTATAAATCACTTGTTTCGGTGCTGTTGTAACTTCGAACAGTCACTAAACAATAATACAGGACTACCTTTAATATTTATTATTTCCTTTGCTTTAACTGAGGTCTGTCTTCTAGCCTTAGCCCAAGGGTAGGCAACCTTGGCTCTTTTATGACTCGTGGACTTCAACTCCCAGAATTCCTGAGCCAGCATGGCTCAGCTTGGAAACCGCTCCCTTTTCCCTCAGCATGGCTGGCTCAGGAATTCTGGGAGTTGAAGTCCACAAGTCATAAAAGAGCCAAAGTTGCCTACCCCTGCTTTAGCCCTTTGATTATAGGTAGTCCTCAATTTACAACAGTTCACTTAGTGACCGTTCAAAGGTACAATGGCACTGAATAAAGTGACTTATGGCCATTTTCACACTTACAACCATTGCAGCATCCCCCCATGGTCACATGATTTACATTTGGATGTTTGGCCACTGGCTCGTATTTATGACGGTTGCAATGTCCCAGGGGTCATGTGATCAACTTTTGTGACCTTCTGACAAGCAAGGTCAGTGGGGAAACCGGATTCACGTAACAACCTCGTTACTATTTTAACATGTATTAAGTGATTCACTTAGCCACCGTGGCAAGAAAAGTCTTAAAATGGGACAAAACTCACTTAACAAATTATTTCACAATCTAAATTTTGGGCTCAGTTGTGATCGTTAAGTCGAGGATGACTTATGGCTGTATTATGGCTGTCTGGGAATGAAACTTTGTCTTCTCTTTCCCCCTACACAACTCGCTGCTTTCTCGGTCCCAAGATTTTAAGTGATGCTTCAGCTGAACCGTTTTCACTTTCGGATGCTGCTCACATTTGGTGGAATGTTGATGAATGTTCTATAATATAATGGCACAATAAATATGCTTCCAAGCCTGACTGAACCTCATCAAACTTCTTTCTTTGAATTAATAGTTGCTCATTTCTAATAAATAAGCTTTCAAAAGTCTCTCGATTATAAATGTGGTTTTTTTAAATGTAGGGTACATTCAAGAAATTCAATCTAGTATTCTATGGTTATATGTACAAATCATTGTACATAGCTTTTATATAATGTTTCTCTGTGTGTCTCCCAGCTAAAGAATCCCTCTCAGCCCCCAAGATGATAAATCAGTCGAAATTCACCATTCCTAGATTTTATCTCCCTTGAAAAATGCATCAGGTGAAAGTTAAATTTACATTGAAAGGGGAAACAAATGTTTCCATTTTATTAGAAGGGCATGTGCACCTGTGGGAAGAAACAGACAATACTATAATGTATTGTGTTCCCCATTTTCAGTCAACTGATGCTATATAAATCAGTTCTATCATCGTTCAACAAAAGAGATGCTGAGAAATATTAAATTACTGTATGGAGAAGAACAACTGTATCAGCTAATTGGGTGAATTGTTACACTAGAAGCCTGGTATATTGCAAAACTTATGTGCTTTAAATAATACATCATCAGTTTTTTCTTTCAAAAAGTAGGAGAAGCAATTCAGATTAGTTGGGCTGGCAGAGGCAGTGGTCACAACGCAAATGGGAAAACTTTCTGTATAAGATTACATTTGGAAATGAAATCAATGTATGTTCCTCTTATAAGGAAAAAAAGATTGTAAATGCAATGAATTATAAACCAAGTACTATAGAAAATTTGCCACTTGGATTTTAGCAAAATTGGATTCTGGAATTAGCAAAATTCCCTCTTAAGCAGAATTCCAAAAGATGAAACTAATAACCCCCTTTTTTGAATGCTTGGTATATAAAAGAGTAAAGCACACAATAATTGTGTACTTTACTCTTAAAGTAAAGTACTTTACTTTAACCTCCCTCTGATCACTGGATTGTGCTTATAACTGTTGCTATAATGATTCAGATCCTGGGCTGCTGGTTTGATGTCACAGCAAACGAATGCAGGAAGACAGGGGTCCATCTTTCACGTTTGGTTTCGCTCCACTAGGGACCCTGGAAAGGGTAGAAAGTCGTCCCATAGAGGCAACAAGCAAGAAGGGGACCCTCATTAATTGCAGGAGAATGGTGGCCTTCCATTTGATCTGAGGAAGCCCTCCAAACCAGCGGGGGAAAGACTGGCTACATTCATGTAGCCAATCAGAAGCTGCTGACAACGGAAGACGATAAGCACCAACGAGCAACTTTTCAGCAACGTGGATGAAACTGGGTGAGACCCTATCCTCTCTTTATGATTATAAAACTTTTTCCTGGAAAAAATTGCCCAAAGCACCCTCCCCGATGAGAGAGGGAAGGGGAATTTTCATCCCATTCCCTCAGGAAAAGAAAAGCAGTAAACTAATTACTTGGGAGAAACAGAGAAAATTACAAGATTATGGCTTTGAAATTTGGGGACTAAAAGTGCTTTTGAGACTTTTTTTTTTAAAAAAAGAGATTTGAAAAACTTGTAATATAAGTTTGAATTTAAAAAGCTGGAAAATGGTGCTAATGATATCTAGTGGCAATTATGGCACTACAATTTGTTATGCCCAAAGTAAATTTGGCTTGAATCCCAGATTTAGATAAGACTCTTGCTGTCCTTAGAAATCTTCACTTTTGAAGACTGCAGCTGGGAAAAGGGGGGGACTTTGAGGCTGCTTATTGGTGTGCCAGAGATGATGAACTATTTTGAAATCGGCCTGCCTGAACTACGAATATAAATATTAACTAACTTTCAGAACTGTGTTGGGGAACTATTTCCCTATAGGAGAAACACACATCATTGCTTGAGATGATGGAATATTTTAGATTACTAATCTTTGACTGATGAACAAATTATATTATAAAGACTACCTACAAAAAATGAAATGGATGTCCCATACTCAGCTTTAAATGTTAAAAAAACATCTCTAACACCTGTCCCCAAAGTCTTCAGTTTGATATACCACCAAGAAAACATGGATGAAGATCAGAAATAAATTCTCTCCATGTTGAAATCAATACAAGAGACTATTGCTTTAGTCTTTAGTCGTGATGAGATTAGAAACAACACAAAGGAGATAAAAGAACAATTTTCTAATCTAAATTTACAAACCCAGAACATGACTACAAAGAAGGAACTAGCAACCCAGAAAATAGAAGGAAAACTAGAGTAAGCAGATCCAAAGATGGAGGACCTAAAGGAAGGAACTAACTGACAGATTCAGATAACTGAAGAACTAGAAGATGGAGTGATAATATCGGAAATGGAAAAGACATCTTACCAATCAAGAATTCAGAACACATTTGAGGAAAAGGAAGAAGAACTGATTGAATGGAAGATAGAGTTGTTAGGAGAACTATGGGGAATTGGAGAAGGAGGGAGGCTGTTTAATGAATATCAGTGGGTTTGTTCTTCCAAAAATACTTCAATCAAATGGTCTTTCTTAGTCCAAACAATATACACAAAAACAGAGGAATGATTCAAATGCATTGACTTGGAAAGTTAGTTAGAAAAAGAAGAAAGCTAGAGTAAGACTGAAGAAAATAGAGGTTTTGACCCATCAGATGGGATATTATATAATTATAATGTTTGAATATGGTGGAGAATAGATAATTGCTAGAAATAGAAGTATTATCATAACTAGAAAGATAAGATTTCTAATTAGAATATTAGATTTTGGTATAAGAAGGGCAACGGGAAAATGTTAAGATGTTTGAATAAGGGAAGCTTTTGGTTACCCAAATATAACTTACTTTGAAATTATAAACAATAGAGACATTTTGAATACTGATGGGAAATTAAAATTAAAAAAAAAGCAAAAACAGGATACTGATTGAACCTATGGATATTAAGTGCAAATGCATTAAGATATGTTTTGGTTAGAAAATTATCTAAAACTGACCTTATTGATATTATGAGAAAAATGTAACAAAAATGTTTATATTCAATTGTATATTTATTAATAACAATAAGAATTGTATTTGCCTAGTGTGGGAAAACAGGTACTACTGGAAGAAGAGAGGAAACATTTGATGGTGTAATATTGGATCTAGACTGAAGAAGTTAATATATACCACTGAATTACTAATGGACCCAGAAAACACGTTGTCTATTAATTATTTGACTGTAAAACTAGAAAATTAATAAAATATTTATTAAAAAAATGATTCAAATCCTGGAAGGAAAGAAAAAAGAGACCAGAAGCTGACAGACATTCAAATGCTCTACAGTATGAACTGTGCCTCTTGGGGCTGGGATTCATGGCCTCCCTGTTTAATGTAAGCATCTGAATTAGGAAATTGCCAACACCCCTCTCAGGGAGGAAATAATGACACCTATTTTAAAGGAAGTGATTCAGTACCCTCTCTTGAAGCCCTTCCTGGATCCCACAGTTATTGACTCCTTAGATCCTATCTCTGACCTTCCCTTTGGGGGAAGGTTGTTGAGGAAGAAGTGGCAATTCAACTTCAGAGAGTTCTAAAAAAAATGGATGATCTGGAATCAATCATGATTCATATCCACTTGTGGATATGATCTCTGGTGGATTATTTTTGTTGGGACAGGGATGAATGGACTGCTCCTCTCCTGATCCTGCTGGACCTCTCAGCAGCTTTCAATACAATTGATCATGGCATCTTACTAGGATTGCTTGCAAGGAATGGGATTAGCAGCACTGTTCTGCAGCCATTGCACTCCTGAGTGAACAGTTATGGAGGGACAGTACTTGAATTCTTGTTCATTCCAATGCAAAATACTTCAATGCTCAGGACTTCCCCCCATACAAAGACTCTGGGGGAAGCCATTAGCTGATGACATTCAGTGTATATTTCTGCCCATGGCCAAGATGCAGATGTCATGAAAAACTGGGGCCTGGAGGCTATCAAAATCTCAATGATGCAACTAAGTTCAAGTTAGCTTCTGTATAACAGTGACCATTCAAGGACATGAGAGATGCTCCTGGACGCCTTACTTGCATGATTTAGAGATTCTTCTGGACTCCCTACTTCAAAAGCAGGTAGAGGCTGGGTGGGAAAAGATATCTTGTGCCAAACTGTGCTTCATACATCAATTAGGACCTTACATTGGCCAGGAACTCATGACTTGACCACCAGCTGGCTGGGTTGCTGTAATGTGCTATTTATGGCTCAACTATTAGAGATGATCTAGAACAGCGGTTCTCAACCTATGGGTCGCGACCCCATTTGGGGTCGATCGACCTCTTTTCGGGGGTCACCAAAAGCGGCGATCTGCCATTTTGTCCCCTCCGGGGGCGCACCGCGCCTCCGGGGGGGCGGTGCCGCACACGCGCGCCGTGCGTGGGGGCGGCGGTGCGCCTCCGGAGGGCGGTGCCGTGCATGCGCGCCACGCATGGGGGCGGCGGCGCGCCTCCCGGGGGTGGCGCCGCGCATGCGCGCCGCGCGTGGGGGTGGCGGCGCGCCTCCGGGGGTGGCGCCGCACATGCGCGCCGCGCGCAGGGGCCCTGCCCCCATGCGCGCCGCATGCGGGGGCGGCGCCATGCATGTGCGCTGCGCGCGGGGCCCCTGCCCCCATGCGCGCCGCGCCATGCATGCGCATAACGTTTGTGTGACGGGGGTCGCCGTCACACAAACGTTGAGAACCACTGATCTAGAAGCTACAACTAGTTCAGAATGATCTAAAAAAAATCTATAGTAGATCTACAGACTGATCATCTATAGCAGGGGTTCTCAACCTTGGCAACTTTAAGACTTGTGGACTTCAACTCCCAGAATTCCTCAGCAGGCTGGCTGAGGAATTCTGGGAGTTGAAGTCCACAAGTCTTAAAGTTGCCAAGGTTGAGAACCCCTGATCTATAGAATGATCGATCCCACCATTGCAGGATAAACCTTCTCCTCTACTTGCTGTACAGATTACCAAAAGGCCCAATTCAAAGGGCTGGCAATGACTTATAACTTGCATTGGGTTACATCAAGCATCGCCTAGCCCAAATTGAAATTCTTAAAAGAACCATTAAGAATTTGCTTTCCCTCTGAATTGCGGTGTCACAAGCAAGACCACCAGTCTTCTTTGTGATGGCCCTCCACAGAGGTAAACACTTCTATGTTTAGTAAAACCTTATCCCAGAGATCCATAAATCTTTCTCCCTCACTGTTTTTAGAAGATCTTTATGTTTTATTTCATAAATTTTCAACCTAAGGAACATTGAAAACTAGCAGTTTCTAAAGCATGAGAAATTCCTGCTTTATAATCACTTGAATGATGTGGAGCATAAACTTACAAACTGTGAATTGCTCTAGAAAAAGTATTCAATCTTCTTTATAAATGCCTCTTTCTCTTTTCTTTTCTTCCCTGTCCAATAATTTCATTCCCATCCGAGTTTTTTTTCTGTTTTTTAATGCTGTTTCTGCTGAAAGAAAGAAAGGAAACCTGCATTAAGCATATTGCTGAAGGTGAAAACTAATTCTCACCATTTCTGAGGTCAATGTTGTGGTGAAAAATGGTGAAGAGGGGCTTATGCATTAAAACCTGAATTCCTGGAGAAAGCGAGAGAATACAAACCCAACAAATAACACTAATAAATGAAGTTTTCATCCTTCAGTTTTGTTTCCATTAATCCGAGGCATCCCTTCAGTGTTTTCCTCATTTTTAAAATAATACAAATAACAACAATAATAATAATAATGGAAACAATTAGTCAAGCAACCACATGACTTCCTTTTTAAAATATTGTAGAGAATAAAAGATCTATCACTTAAGCTGAACTTATGCCCATCTCTATGGCAACTAATAGTAACATTTAATGTTCTCGTTCACTATACACAAAAATGTAATATGCTCCCCCGCTACACTTTTCTTTTTGTGCTAAATCACTCTGTGCCGCCTACACTATGGCAAGATTGCATATAAACTGAAATGCATCAAAGAAGCATTGACATCACAAAGTTATACTTGAAATAGTGATGGAATATATAACTCGTGACCCATCAAGCTGAACAGAATTAGCATTCATGTTTAGTGATCACTTCCTCTCTGCCCCTTGCTTTACAGCCTCCGACAAGTAACACAACTATACAAGTAATCATACAGGGTGATGGCATGTTTTTCATCTGTAGGTCATTTGTGCTATTTAAAGTCTGTGCTAGAGAATCCTAAAACTCAGCTTAAAGGTAATTTCAAAACTGATTGGCATGGCAGATCTTAATTAATGCTATTTTATAAACTAGATACAGTACAAAGCACTTAACATTTGCCTTCAGCCATGTGTAAACTGATAATTCAGGACGTCTGGGATAAAATTAATTGTATGGGTTATTTGAGTAGAAGTTTTGGCTGGTTCTGATACACAAGCTGTTGGGACATTATGATGGCTGACCCATAAGTGGCAATTCTTGGCATCATGGCTCCTTTTGCAGAGCTTGCAGGATAGGTTTCTATTCTTTCCCACCACCTTCAGCTTTTGGACCCAACATTCAAAGTGTCAGACCTGCCCCAATCCAATCCCTTAGGAAAGAAAAGCCTTCGACTCCATTTGGTTAAAGCAGAGGGTTCTTTTACTAAGGATGTTGGTTGCAGTCAAGTCAAGCCAACTCTGAAATTTACCGTGCTCACTAGTTACAATAATAAGATGTAGGCTTGCCCCAGCCCACCCCCTTCCTCCATGACCAGTCCATTTCCAGCCAACTGGAGCTCACCAAAATGTTTCGCAATCTCTGAAATGTTTAGGGTTAATCTGCATATTTCTCAGGGTGCCTGGCTGTGGGGGTGCTGATACAATCAGGATCCGACTGCCCTGGTCCTTATCACCCCTTATTCCCCCCCCCCTCTTAGTTTCCTATCACATACACACAAAGCTTTATTGCCCTTTCATCCTTCTCCCCCTTATTTCTCCTTTCATCCTTCACCCCCCCTTCTTCTTCTGATGACAGGATGTTTGCGAGGCCCCAAGCCAAGCCAGGCAGAGCTGATACAAAGTTTCTATTTAAATTTAAAATTTTAGAACCATATGAGATGTCATAGAAACTCTGCAATCCATCTCTCATGTCTGTTCTGTTTTAGATTGGAAAAAATAAGTATGATGCTTCTCTATTCATATTTCTAAAATTCAGCTCAAGGCCAGGAGAATTCAACTCAACTAGAGGTCAGGAGAATTAAGGGTGACTTTGAATATTCTTTTCTATCTTCTCCTTTGTTTTGTTATGTCATTGAATTTAATAAGGCGTTTGATGCATTTATGCATATGCAATAAGTAATCCAATTATTCTCAACAATAAATTGTCTCTGAAGATACCTGAACTATGTTACCTGTTAAGAAGGCATGAAAAACTAAACACATAATTAGATGTTGTTAGTGCTACTTCCTGACAAGAAAATACCTTAATTCAATTTTCTATCCTTTCTCTTGCAAATATGGATACAAGAGTAACTTAATTTTGATAGCATAAATGGTCAGCATAGTATAACAATAAGTTCAGATGTTTTAAAGGAACATATTGTGACACATTGCGCTGAGATAATAAATAGTATCAGCACAGGCAAATATGCAGGAAAAGAATAATGATGATGGTTCATCCAGTCAACAGTGAAAGCTATACTGTCAGTTTTTGTCATCTTTGTGGTGCTTTGCAAAAAAAAAAAAAGTGGATGAAGAAAATGAAGTATCTTGGTTTCCTTGATATCGTTTTGGTCATGCTATTTTGGCCCATCATTTTACTGACTTGGTTTAGGTAACACAATTTGAGGCTGGCTTTTATCCTTTCTGATGGGATATTCCATCAGAATCTGATGGGATGTACTAACTAACAGTAGTTAATACTAGTGATTTTTTTTTCCAGAGAGGGAAGGGGAAATACAGTGAGACTTTCAAAGCTCTTTTCCTGTAGCCTATATCATGGTGGCTATGGGAATTCTAGGAACTGAAGTCAACACATCTTAAAATTGTTAAAGTTGAGAAACACTGACCTATAACAATAAAGTTGATGTCCAGTATTCTTATGGAGTCTGTTTTCTGACCTGGTCTATGTCAAAGAGCTAACATCAATCTTGAAATCCTAACTATGTTTTCCATTCTCACCTTCTTATTCCCATGAAATTAAGATAGACTCAGTTTGAGAGTCTAATTTTTTCTTTGTAATGTACGGTTCTGTAATTGGAACTAGAGAAAGAAACAAATTGTGTAGCCTTGCCTAACTATTGCTATCTCACTTTTGTAAACAGTGTTTGCGCCAGGGACAAATTTCATGCAAGCATGGGAAACATGTACACGGATGTTATGTACTGAAGGAGGGAATAAGGGAGTGTATAGGAATGATTGTTGTCTTCCTTATATTGTAATAATTCTGTTGTCTGATTTTCATTGGCTAACAAAGTTTATAAAACAATTCTACTAACTTTCTAAGGTGTGGCACTTCTGAATGCAACTGCTGCCAGTGTTCAGATTATGTTCCCACCCAGGACTTAATTTTAATTTTAAGAAGCCTCTGCTTGAGTTTTCATGATTGGATTTTTATGATTTCTCAGGTTTGGCCAAGGGCCAGTGACTTAAGTTAAAACATGTTTTTTGTAACTGTTTCTGTACATAAAGTTTTTCCAAGATTAACTCTTGGTTCAGTATACTGTACCAGCAGAATATTGTCAGACCCAGCATGATACCTACCTGTCTGTATTCCTATATCCGGCGTTAATTGAGACGACGGACGGTCCAGGAATCTCCAGTCAGCCCCGTTGGAATCGCTGCACCGCCAGCGCTGTTGCAAGATTGGTGCCGGCGCCTCTACAGTGACGAGCCAATGGACCATGTGACCACCTAGTGTGGAGAGGGGCTGTATTAGGCAGGCGCAATGAGACTCAGTTTGACTGGGATGCTGGGTCTGACAGGTTTTGGACGCTGGGAAGGCAGGGAGGCAGGGAGGTAGGAAGGCAATATGAATGTAACGCCAGTATTCACGGTACTAATGGACGGACCGCGGAGGGACTGGGTGCGGTGTGGGTGGAGTTTCGTTATAAGGGCAGGGTGGTTGGGTGTAGCATGGGTGGAGTAAGGGGGTAATTAGGGAGTGTACGGTGAGCGCGGTGCTGAGCTGTATTTAGGGCGCTGGGGCGGGGCCCCTCCCAGGGCTAACTTTGTTTTCAACAAAGCGCATTAAACTTTGTTGGATACTGCGACGTTCCTGGTGTCTTGGTTTCCTAAAGCACAGTTAGGACGTTCTTACAATGTTACACAAAGAAATTGAAATAGGAATTAGTGAAAAGTTCCCTTCTTAACTCCTCTGTCTTCTACATTCATTATCTGTAGTTTTAAATGTGTTAGTAGAATGAGGGGAAAGCAACAAAAGAGAGGGAATTTGTGGACAAGGATCCAGTGCATGCTCAGCCTCCTAGCATGTGAAAACTAACAAGAGACTTGGAAGCCATATAGAGGAGATAAATTTTATTCACACAATCCTATATTTAGGGCAATGGATTTCATTCAGTGATGCTATGGGCCAGGTTCCCTTATCATAAAAGATGACTTCATGTTGCCATTGTAAAGACAAGCCCCTTACCACTCTTTATTGATCCATCAATTGATTATGTGCCATCAGGGTTTTATTAATAGACTTCATACCTTCGTATTGCATTGGGACCTAACTAGTAACCGGGTAGGCGTTTCTATCTCGTAATCCTCCACACCCAGCCTTCAGCTCAAAAAGTCTGGAAGAAAGATAAGACAACAGAATTAGGTATCTGAGAACCAGCCAATTAGTATGCATAAAAACTGGTGACATTCGGGGAAGAAGATCAGCACTCATCAGGAAGAATAGCAACGGCCTTCCTAGATGAAGTGATAGAGTCTGCTAGTATCTGCTGGAAAGGCAGCTCTACATTATGCTATACAATACAGCAGGGGTCCCCAACCCCCGGCCCATGGACCAGCACTGGGCTGCGGCATGCTAGAAACCGGTCCACGCGAACAAGCAAAGCCCCATCCGCGGGATGCAGGCAGTACATGAAACCACGCCCCCTCTGGTCCGCAGAAAAACCTCTCTCCACAGAACCCGTCCCTGGTGCCCAAAAGGTTGGGGACCTCTGCAATACAGAATGCCGAGCATCCTGAGTATCGGAGATGCATTTTAGAGCAATTTATACAAAATATCCATTACATATAACATACTGCCTATAGAAAGCATCTCAGGATTCTTCTATTTCCATAGGCATGTATATCTTATACATGATAAAATCAATGCCACCTATACACTCTCTCTTGTGTGTAGGCAGTATTTTTTTAAAGAGAATTTAAATGGAAAAGACTATAATATAAAATAATAACAACACAATAATAATGCTAATATATAACAAAACAATATACCAAAAGTGACTTAATGACTAATAAATGATTTGCTAAGCAACACATAAAAATGTAGCTAAAGCTAAGCTAAATTAGAATGATTCAACAATAATTGATTTTTAACCGGCTAAATAATACCCCATTCAAAGAAATTGCAAAAAGATTCGATGATGTCTTACTAAATTCCTGAGGCTGAAAAATATGCTTAAATAATAACAAATGAATGTAGAGACTCTATCATGGACAGGATGCAAGGGTCCAGTTCTTCAACATCAGCTCATTCCCACTTATTACATAGATCCTTTTCCACCCTGTCCCCAATGTTCTCACAAAGGGAACAGAAGCCAGACTGCAATTATGTTGATTTTTCATCTAGTAAAATTGGAAGAATGCTTTAGACCAGTGGTTCTCAACCTTTCTAATGCCGTGACCCCATAATACAGTTCCCCTTGTTGTGATGACCCCAGGGGTGTGGCCAAGTGGGTGTGGCCACCAATAAGAGGGAGTAGGACAGCTAAGGAAAAGGGAAAAAAATGGCAGACAGCGTGGTTTGGCGACCCCCTTGAAATGGTCGTTCGACCCCAAATGGGGTCGCGACCCACAGGTTGAGAACCACTGCTTTAGACTTAATTTGTCTTGATTTCAGCAACCTATTCAACAATATACCCTCTTAGCAAGATAGGTAGATGTGGAATGAGTCGCGTAACTGGTTTCAAAATTCTATTGATTTGAAAATTGTACCCAAATAATTGCCTATAGTGGTGCTTCATCAAACTGGAGTGAACTATTGAATGGAGTATGTCAAGGTTCCATCCTGGACCCAATATTCTTCAGCCAAAATAATCTGGATAAATTAGAGAAGTGGGCTAAAATTTAACAGGGAAAAAAATGCTAAACTTCTTCACCTAAAAAAAATGAAATCAAATGCATAGGTATATAATGGAGGGTACTGGGTTGGTACACACAAAAAGTATATTGGAACAGAGTGGTGCTGGTGGTGAAAATGAATATGAGCTACCAAGTTCTAACCAATTTTTGGAGTTGTGGAAAAGAGAAAAGTAATTTTAAATTGCCACAACAGAATGAGAGTTACGAAATCATAGGAAGTATTTTTTTTCTGCATTTGGTCACATCCCACTTCAAGCATTTTTGTCCAGTTCTGGATAATAGTCTTTAAGAATTCACACAAATTGGGGCACCTGTAGAGAAGAGCCATGTGTATAATCAGTGCTTAGAAACTCAATCACATAACTGGCAATGTTTAGCCTTGAGGAGAGAGAATTGAATAGCACCCTCCAAATATCTAAAGGGATATAAAAAGAGGAAGGCCAAGAGTACTTCCCTATTACTTCAGAATGTGTGCTAGTTGTGGAATGATTTTAAGTTACAAAAGGCAGGTTCTGACAGAATGTTAGGGGGGAAGGGGGAACTATCGAAACAGAAAGAACAGTTGAATAATAGAAAAGTTACTGTGAGAATGGTAGGTTCCTCCTCGCTGAATGAGTTCATGGAGGAGCTAGACAGAAATTTATTCATTGGGATTGTTTTCATTTGATTTTTTTTTTTTTTTGCATTTGGCAGAATGCTATACAGCCCTTTCCACAGCTATATGAAAAAGAAATGTTGTGTTAGATTCTCTTTCCAAACCTAATGCAAGCTCATAGATATAAAAGAGAGACCACAGGGTATGGTGCATTGAAACTGTTTGGTTTTGCTAGTCATCAATTATATAGGCATACATCTACTAGTAAGTGCCAAACCATCTTAGCTCCAAGCTATGATGCTTCTGTTTTCCAAAAAGCTGTTTAACCCCCTGATTAATTACATATAACCACATGTCTGGGAACATGAGTTCACTGTATCTATTTTTCTGAAGTTCAACTAAATTGGGCACTAATGAGTTTTATATTTTTTAAAAAATAAACAAACACCTCTTTGATATAACATCAAAAAACTGTAATCCCTTTGTGGAAAGTCGGGGGAAGGGAGAGAGAACATGAACAAAGTAAATTTTATATAGCAGTTTTAATACCTTTCTTTTGTTTGCATCTCTAATCATTTCCCATGCACAATCAGAGCTCATGCATCCCATGAAAGCCAGAAACCCCTGTTTTTCTACTGCAGCATATATGATGAGATCAGGGGGAAAATATCAACATTTAAGGAGCAGCTGCAGAACAATTAAATTACTTTGCTGTAGCCATGATTCTGTTAATTAGCAATCAGTTCACTACTTTCGCTACTTTCTCTTTTAAACTCAAAAAGAAATTTTACATTCCAAATTATACATCGCTTTGAACTCTAGTTTCTTTGTATGTTGCACTTTTTATGCATGCGAGATTTTCCAAGCTGTTTTGTCACTTGTGGCACTCAGACAAATTGGCCATCATCAGGTACATAGAGATAAACCACATCTACATGCCATTCAAAAGAGACAATCAAAAAGTCAAAAAGGAAACAAAAAGATCAAAACTTCCCCCACCAGCAATCAGCAACCAGATGAGCAGAGATTAACACCAATATTAACACTAGACCAACAATCAAGAAGTGAACAACAGTTCCCAATCATGGAACTATCAACTCAGACAAACAAGCTAACAGTAAGCAATAGGTTAGGAACCATCAAGATCATCCCCACCAACATTGACAGGGCAAGCCATTGGTATATAATATGAAAGCAAACTCTACTTCTTTCTAACATTGATTATGTTACCTAGCTTGGGAATGAAACATCTGCAAGAAAACAACCAAGGTCAGGGAGCACCACAGATTCCACAAACTCAGAAGTCCTGAAGCATTTTCAGAAACAAGTGAATAAAAGCTTCAGCTGAAAATTTGTTTTCCAGGGAAAACATGTTCTTTGGCATGCACATATTGCATGAAATATTTACTTTCTCTTATATTATATATAAAGAAAAAGGTGAGGAGCACACTAGTCTTGCTCGGGAAATTGTCTTTTGATAACTATCAGGTGTTCCCTGCTCTTGTGTTTATTTAATATAACGTTTAAATATTTAGATTGGACAATATGTACATCATATACTGCTACAATGTGAACCAATATGTGTAAACAAGCAGTAAATGAAAGCTTGTTGGCTTAGGAATCCTGTCTTTTGGGGAGCCATAACCCAGAATCACAGGTTCCAATGTCACAATACATTACAAATGTATGTTTGTAAAGAGGAAGATAAACAATCTTAATGTTTGTTAAAGGACATTGGTGTTTGTGTCTTACCTGGAGCAACAATCCATCGATTCTGTTACAATCAATCCAACATTCCCAGTATATCCTATTGAAATGTATAGTTTTCAGAATAAAGGAAGATTGAGGGTACTGGACTAACTTGAAAAGACTAAGATGAAGGGGTAGATACCATTTTTGAGACCATGTGTAATTAGTTGTTTGTTGTTAATTGCTTACAAAATATCTTGGAGAAGCAAATTCTCAAGACTAACTCGGAA